AGTGTGTATTATCCGCTGCTCCGATCTGCACGGTTGGCTATGTACGGTGCGAACGAAGTTCAACATGCACACGTACAGTCACGTGGGGGGGGGGGAGGCGGTTAAACCGGAGCACCCGGATACAACCCAAACCGCCTTTGCGCGAAAGGGGGCAACGCTCTATCCCGCGTACAGATCGGGGACACAGTTGGCGATTAGTCCACTCGCTGTACTGCCCTCTCCTGGCGAGCCACGGGTATGGCACCTCCTCGAAACCCACGGGAAGGAAGGGAGTTTCACAACATCTGTGCGGTGAAATTTCGATTTAAAGCTTTCGTGACTGCAGGGATTCATCTTATTGGTTCTTTCGGTAAAGTCACGTAGAAGGGTAGTAATAAAATAACAAAAAATAAAACATAATTATGATTTTATTACTTCCCTTCTACGTGACTTTACCGAAAGAACCAAGAAGATGAATCTGTGCGGTGATCCATCGACCCCCGCTGCTGCATCCACAGTGCTAGACCACAGGCGTGCAACAACCGGCATTCGCCACTAAGTGGCAGTGACGTCACTACGACGTTTGTGCCAGGCCATGTGCACCTTGAGGCCACGTGAAGTGTCGAACGCCCGCTGGCAGGAGGTCACGGGGCAGACCCTGCAGGTGCCACGAGTCGACTGACTGAAATGACCGAGATGACTGGCTGATGCACCACCTGTGCCCCCTACTGTGCACAACCACCACCACAACCACCACCACCACCACCCAATACATCACCATCGATCTCCCCGCCCGGTAGTTGAAACAATTGGACACGTTTTTTAACCCCCCCCACCGCCACCATCCGAGGTCTCTGTCCACTCAGCAGTATAGATTTGGTCCACAAGTCAGACGATCTGCGGCAGATCGCGTGTGTGGTAGGGTAACAAGTGTGGGCATACTCCCAAACCAATGGATGAGTTATTCCAGAGCAGCCTTTAAGAGACGCGCTGTCCAGAGCGGCATCTTGTGGGCCTTTCTAGCAGCGGTGGAGCGAGCAAGGCATTGCAGGGCTGCGCCTTAAACGTTACCGTCGTCGTCGTCGTGGTACCTGATGGCCCCGTTTGGACCAGAGTCACAGCTGAGAGGCAGTCGCAAAGGAGTGGAACGTGACAAAGCGGAGATGGAGCCACGGAATCAGTTCGCGTGCTGATGCTACAGGATCGTCAACAGCGGCGACAGCGGCGGCTTGGGGAGGCGTTCATCCAGCAGCGACATTGACCCTGACTGACGGCGAGGATGGTGCTGATGATAACCTGATGTGCATTTAGCGAGAGTCAAACGGGGCGGGGCGGGGCGGGGTGGAAAGACACCAATCTCGAACGCTAAATGCTCTCGAGCAGATAAAATCTACGGTTACACCCCCCTCACCCACCTCTCTATCTCTCTCCCCAAGATTCATTCATGATTTATTTACAACTTTACATTGATAAGAAATCTCACAAATTGTCGATGATAGAGATAAACAGCGGCTGCGTAAAGCATTTCTGGGGGGGTGGAGGGGTGGGGTGAGGGTGGCGTGGGGTGGTGGTGGTGTGGGGATGACTATGCCTCTCTCTTCTACGATCCACAGACATAGACACTGGCCCCTCGGTTCATCAAATAATCAAATACGAATTGATTCAGCGCGCTGCAAGCCCGCCACGAACGTCACAGCCACCACCCCGAAAAGATGAATCGAGCTCGGGTTTCCGATTCACGCAGACACGGGGAGCCAGCTGATCGCGGTGAGGTCTCTGACACGAATGGAGGCCTGCGCAACTCCGAACGGGTCACGATGTACCGACGTCACCACGCGGTGTTGCAAGCACGCGCGCGCACCAGCACCTGTGCCGATCCACCGCTGGATGAACGGCTCACCACGCCACGTGTGGTGTCGATCGTGGGGTGGATGGTGGTGGGGGCGTAGGAGAAAAGTGGGTGGTGTCACCACGCTGGCTCTGGTGAAAGGGGCTCGGATCGATATCACTCGCCACTGATGTTAGCCGGGATTTGAACTTAGGCCACGCGCCAGGTTCAATGGGCGGCGCGCTAATCGTAATGGCACCGCTCCCCGAATATGCAGTGCCGTATATACGCCACACACACAGACACCAATACACACACACAGACACCAATGCACATACACAGACACCAATACACACACACAGACACGAATGCACACACACAGACACCAATACACACACGCATACACGAATGCACACGAATGCACGCATGGTACTCCCACAAGTAACACATACCGTACACATACTCACAAATGCAAAGGTAAAGATACCCCATGTGGTTTACACAGATTGTCGGGGTAAGTGCTGCTATGCAAACTCACACTCGCTTCACAAACGCACCACCACCACCACCACGCAGGTAAAGACAAAGGCGCGGCCCTGCAATGGCACGCTCATGGCACACCTCGCACCATCACCACTAACAAAGGCATCAACTTACGCTCATTAAACACAAAGCGCCTGTTTAAAGGACAGAGGGCAGTCATTTAGAGTAACAGCAGAAGGGCGCAATTAGCACAAGGCGGATGTTATTGATGATGATAAAGGAAGACTCGGACACACACACACACACAAAAAAAACGTGACTAGGCAAGCGTTTTTATTCCTCGGCAGCGTTAATGTCTTAGAGGAAACGAAGTAATGGATTCGTTATTGCGACGACGACGATGACGACGCGGAGTCGTTTACGGCTCTGCGCCACTTAAACGCTGAGCGATGCCGCCCCGGGGCTCAGCGTGAGCAGCGGGGAGCGTCTCCTGCACCGCCGCTCCTTCGCGCACAGCCACACGGGACCTGTTGGTAGCGGTGGTGTTGAGTGGTGGGTGGTGGTGAGTGGTGGTTAGTGGTTGTGAGTGGTGTTAAGTGGCGGTGGTGGTGTTGAGGATGTGCGGTGGTGGTGGTGGTGGTGGTAGCAGTGGTGTTGGGTGGTGGTGGTGGTGGCGAGTGGCGGTGGTGGTTTTGAGGGTGTGCGGTGGTGGTGGTAGCAGTGGTGTTGATTGGTGGTGGTGGTGAGTGGTGGTGAGTGGTGGTGGTGGTGAGTGGCGGTGGTGGTGTTGAGGATGTGCGGTGGTGGTGGTGGTGGTAGCAGTGGTGTTGGGTGGTGGTGGTGAGTGGCGGTGGTGGTGTTGAGGATGTGCGGTGGTGGTGGTAGCAGTGGTGTTGGGTGGTGGTGGTGAGTGGTGGTGGTGATGTTGAGGATGTGCGGTGGTGGTGGTGGTAGCAGTGGTGTTGGGTGGTGGTGGTGAGTGGTGGTGGTGATGTTGAGGATGTGCGGTGGTGGTGGTGGTAGCAGTGGTGTTGAGTGGTGGTGGTGAGTGGTGGTGTTGAGTGGCGGTGGTAGCAGTGGTGTTGATTGGTGGTGGTGGTGGTGGTGAGTGGTGGTCGTGTTGAGTGGCGGTGGTGATGTTGAGGATGTGCGGTGGTGGTGGTGGTAGCGGTGGTGGTGGGTGGTGGTGAGTGGTGTTGAGTGGTGTAGTGGTGTTGAGAGGTCGTGGTATTGATTGTTGGTGGTATTGATTGGTGATTTTGAGGATGTGGTGGTGTTGATTGGTGGTGTTGAGAATGTGTGATGGTGGTGATTGGTGGTGTTGAGAATGTGGTGGTGTTTATTGGTGGTGGTGTTTATTGGTGGTGGTGTTAAAAATGTGTGGTGGTGGTGAGTGGTTGGTGTTGGTAGGGTGGTGGTGGTGTTTAGGATATGTGGTGGTGGAGCTGAGTAGTGATACTGGGTGGGTAGAGTCACGTACACAACACACAGACAAAAATCCCCCGTATAGCCTTAACGGGCTGTAGGGGCAAGTGCTGTTAGTGAGCACCTATAAAGGCCGGCACGGTGCACGAAGGGGTGGTGTAGGCAGTACAAAGACAAAGGTCCCCCGTGTCTCCGCAGTGCCTATCTTCACACACACTGCAGCAGGTGCCCATAATTATTTAAGGCTGAGTCGACCAACACGCGCGCGTGTGTGCGTGTTTTTTTGCAAGGGGGGGGGGGGGGGTAGTGTAGCGGTTAGCGCCCGGCGCTACGAACCGGGCGACCCGAGTTCGATTCCCGCTCACGGCCAACACAGGTGACCGACTCAGCCTCAAACGAGTACCTGGCGCGGCGCGTAAAAAACATCGCCACGAGGGAGACAAAGACGGCCCGGCGTGGTGTTGTCCAACCACCCCCTCGTGTGCCGTGCCGGCCTTCATAAGCGCTCGCTAACAGCACTTGCCACCAACAGTCTGTTACAGGCTACACGGGGGACCTTTGTCTTTGTGCTTCGGTGGTGCGTCGTCTGCGCTCCTGCGCGTGGCGTGGAGAGAGCGCGTGTGACCTTAGCGGCGAGAAGCCACACAAAGATCATGCACACAGCGAGAGGGAGAGAGGGAGGGAGTCAGAGGGCGAGAGAGATGTTGCATGGGGGGGGAGGAAAAAAATCGCATAAACATACGCTAACAAGCAGGGCAATATATGTGTACGTACGCAAAAGCGCGCTGACGAGCAGAGTGTAAGGACCGCAAGAGGAGGAGGGGCAGGAGGGTAGCGAGGATGAAGAAGAATCGGCCAAAAAAAGGAGTCGGACGAGGAGAAAATGAGAAAGGATGACGATAAAGAGATTGGATGAGGAGGTGAAAGAGGAGGCCGGGGAGGAGTTGGAGAATACAGAGGAGCCAGATCCAGGGGGGGGGGGGAGGGCAGACACAAGGGGGAGGAGGAGGATAAAGAGGAGCAAGGGAGAGGAGGAGGAGATCAACAACAGAGCGGTGTAACGATTAATCAATCACGCTTGCGCCGATGCCAGAGAAGCCGATTATGGGCACGGCGGCGGAGTGTGGAGTCAGGATTGCCATGCCCCGGACTGTGGGCTCATAATATCACGGAGAGGGGAGGTGGTGGTGGGGGGGGGGTAGAGTGGGAGGGAGTAGGGTAGGGTGAGGGTGGGGGGCTGCGGAGCGATGGGGCAAGGAGGGGAGGGGGAGGTCTGAATCTGCAGCAATCGCTGGGTTTAATCTGCGAGCCGGAGCTCTGTCGGTCGGGCGCTGCTGTGTGGAGCAGCCTCAAGCGCTGCGATCTCTCTCCAGTCAGGTGGAGCGACTGTATCAGCTCAGAGCGCAGACATCACGACCACCACCACCACCACTACTTCCTCCTGTTCCTTCTTCTCTGCCGCAGCTGCCACTGCTCTTCCGCTGATGCCACTCCGGCCGACGCTGCTTCTTCTGCCGACGACGAAAGAAGAAGAAGAGGAAGAAGGCAGGCGCAGAGACGAGCTGTAGATTCGGGTGCCCGATATCTGCGCGGCGCAAGAGAACGCACCGCGGCTCTGGCTCGGAGCTGCTCGCTGGGCTGGGCTGGGCTCGGGGAAATGTGACTGGGGAAACACAACACGTTTTTGTTGTTGTTGTTGGTGGTGGTGGGGGTGTTTCTCCTCTCCTTTCGCTTGCTTTTTGATTGTTTCGTGAATCTTCCCGTAGCTTGTTTGACACGAGGACTGTTGCGGTAACGCGCGGGTTGGCTCCGGGTTACGCGCGTGGCGACGTCTGCAGCCCCGCGGAACCCCCACGGCGCGCGATGTGGCTCCTGGTGTGAAACTCGAGCCGTGGACGCAGTTTGCGCTTTTCGTTTGCTCGGACTTTCGTGACGGCTGCGGGCTCCTGCAATTACTCCGACGACGACGGTGATTGATGATGATGATGATGACGATCCAGCGCCGCTTATTGCTCCAGCACGTGAAGAGTTCACGGGCACAGTTGCCCACCACCACCACCACCACCACCTCCTCCTCCTCATCCTCCACCACCGAGCCCACCGGATCGGCACCCGAGCAGGAGGATTGAACGCGCGCAAGTTAAGAGAAGGGCGAACCTCTCTCACCATTCCGCTTTGGCGAGAACGTTCACTCAGACGAGGTGGAGTGCGCCGATCGCGGTGCCGGTGGCTCACTCGCTCACGCCCTTAGCGCGCGCTCGTTGGCTGCGTTTCGTTGTCATTGTCTCCAAAAACCTCATCGTCACATCGTTACGTCGTTGTCAGCCTATCTTCGCTGTCATCACCGCATCGTTATCAACCCATCCCTCGACCACTTTCGCCGCCGTCACCGCCGTAAGCTCTTGGAGCGCGCAGCGAGGGAAGGGCTGAGCGCACCACCAACTACTCCGGGGAAGATCGCAACCCTCCTCAGATGAACAATCAGTCTCGAGCCGACCCAACCCGACCCGATCCGGCCAGGGCACCAGCCGGACCTGCTCCCCGGGTGCTTCGTCCGCGGGTTCGCTTCGGCTGCCTTGCTGCAACCCACCGCCTTCTTGCCAGTGTTATCCACCCCCACCCCCCCACGCTGACTTGAGATGAGCCGGCTACGCGTGAACGCGATCCTGGGACTCGACGTCAGCGGCAGCGGCAGCAGCACGGCAGGTAATCGAGTTGTGAGCAGCGGTGAGCGCGCTGCGCTACGAACCCGCCAATGATCCGAGTTCGATCCCCGCTCACGGATAATAACGGGCGGCGATTATATTTGAACCGGTCCTGGGCCATCCCGTTGGTCGACCCTAGCCTTGGATGAATTCCCGCTGCGGTGCGTGTGTGTGAAGGTCGGTACTGTGGAGACAAAGGCGGTCGGGCGTGAAGCTGGCCACGCACCGCCTCGTGCCACTCTTGCGGCCTTCATAAGTGCTCGCTAACAGCACTTACCCCAACAGTCTGTTAAAGGCTACACGGGTGATCTTTGCCTTCATTGATAACAATGGAGCGAGACGTTATCGTGGTGCCGCTTCGCGCACTGCGCTACAAACCCCGGCGACTCGAGTTCGATTCCCGGCCACGGCAAAATAACAGCAGGGGTGATTATCTGAAACGGTCATGGATCTCCACTGTAGGTCGGCTCGGCCTTAAATGAGGACTGTACCAGGTGCGGTGTGTGAACGCAATCGGATCTGAAGAGACAAAGGCGGCCGGGCGTGGTGCTGGCAACACCAAGCCCCTACGTCCTTCGTGTCGGCCTTCACAAGTGCTCGCTACGAGCACTTGCCCCAACAGTCCGTATAGACTACACGGGGTATCTTAGTCTTTGTAATAATACTAATGAGACAGAGTACTCTCTATACGAGGCTTTGTCAACATACTGCTGGGTAAATGTCCTCCTCAAGCACTGTCTTTCGCGGGGGTGGGTCGTTTGACCATACTTCACCGCGCCGGTCCGTGCGGGTTGTTGATGACAAGGGGGTATTGGTCACTCGCCACTGATGCCGGGGTCGGGAATCGAACTCTGACCGGGCGGCCTCATAGCGCAGTGGGGCGAACCAAGCCCGGTCGCGTTTCCATCGAAGTATAAAAAATATATATTTAAAACGATGACACCCATGGCAATGATTTACCCAGGGACATCTCTCTCGTTGAGTCTCAAGATTCTTGCTCACGATGGTCCTGCCGCGCCGTGCATGTTTTGGCGATTCTATGAATGAGCGATTGGCTGAACGGAGTTGCTGCACGTCACGTGTGTGTCGGGGTAGGGAGCTGAACAGAGTTGCTGCACGTCACGTGCGTGTGTGTGTGTGGGGGGGGAGCTGAACAGAGTTGCTGCACGTCACGTGTGTGTGGGGGGGGGGGGAGCTGAACAGAGTTGCTGCACGTCACGTGTGTGTGTGGGGGGGGGGGGGGCTGAACAGAGTTGCTGCACGTCACGTGTGTGTGGGGGAGGGGGAGCTGAACGGAGTTGCTGCACGTCACGTGTGTGTGTGGGGGGGGGGAGCTGAACAGAGTTGCTGCACGTCACGTGTGTGTGTGGGGGGGAGCTGAACAGAGTTGCTGCACGTCACGTGTGTGTGTGGGGGGGAGCTGAACGGAGTTGCTGCACGTCACGTGTGTGTGTGTGGGGGGGGGAGCTGAACAGAGTTGCTGCACGTCACGTGTGTGTGTGGGGGGGGGGGCTGAACAGAGTTGCTGCACGTCACGTGACGTGTGTGTGGGGGGGAGCTGAACGGAGTTGCTGCACGTCACGTGACGTGTGTGTGGGGGGGAGCTGAACGGAGTTGCTGCACGTCACGTGTGGGGAGCGGCGGCGCAGCGGTTAGCGCACGGCGCTACAGACCCCCCCCACCCCCGTGCCTGCCACCTGCGATTTGCTTCCCACGGACGGCAAAAGCATCAATGTCGAGTGCTTTCAGAAGCGGCCGTGGGCTTCCCCTTAGGTCGACTCAGCCTTTAAATGAGCAGCTGGCTGGCGCTGCGTGTAACCCATCAGAGCAGGGAAGACGTGGCGCCCTCTGCACCCCCCCCTTCACCCCCAGCTCAACCTCTTCCCGTCCCCGCTTCGTGCGTCGTGCCCACCTTAATAGGTGCTCGCTAACAGCACTTGCCCCAGCGGTCATGCGAAGGGCTATCCAATGCAGGTCATTCCAGTGCTACTCAGGAGTCCCTCGACTCTCTCCTCTTTCAGGGCGGCGGGGGGAGGGAGGGGGGGTCTTGCAGCGACGATTTGGCCAATTCCATTAACGAGCTTCGGGATTCGCGTCCGGGGTTATCTGCGCACCGAGAGGAGTGATACTCGGCACACTGCCATCTCCTGGTCACGTCCAGCCCCGGCAGCCACCGCAACCTACAGCACCTGGCAAGCGCCTGCGGTTGGGTCACCCGCTGACCAAAGCCTCTGATCTGTTTGTTCATTCGCAAACGTCCACGCCTGTCATCTGAAGCACGTGACGGCAGTACGTCGAGATCACGAATATTTATATTCTTAGGTGTTTTCGGTAAAGTCACGTAGGTAAAACATCAAAATTAATAAAAATAATAACAGGACCCTGCGGGGTGGGCTGGTAGGAATAATACTTAGTACCGGTACAGAGATATCGACCGGGTATAGAGGAGTTAAAGAAAAAATTACTGTATTCTAGTGTAACGTTAATTGAAAGTGTTTGTTTTGACAAGAAACGCTGTGAGATTTAAAGACTCGTAGTCTTTCATTTCCAACACCACCCTCAACACCACCCCTCCCACGGACGGACGGACGGACACATTAATCTATTGGTGGTCTGGTCCACTTCGTTCCTACCAGTAAAATAAAATAAAGATCACGACGTTTCGGAGGCAACACAAGTCTCCGTCATCAGGTGGGACAGTCACAGCCAGATCAGCTGCATCAAGTGACTGTCCCACCTGATGACGGAGACTTGTGTTGCCTCCGAAACGTCGTGATCTTTATTTTATTTTATTATTTTTATTAATTTTGATGTTTTACCTACGTGACTTTACCGAAAACACCTAAGAATATGATTCATTGCAGTCACGAAAGCTTCAAGTCTAGAGATCACGAATCTCTCTTTGAAAGGCGGAGCCGGCGTGTTGCGATGCGACAATAGTGCGGGCTAATGCGCGGCCCTTCATCAATCCACTGCTGGATGAAGGAATCTCCACGCCTCTCGGTCATAGAGGGGTGGTTGTTGTTGTTGTTGTAGTCGTTTGACCATACTTCACCGCGCTGGTCAGTGTGCGCCGAGCGCGTTTTTCGACTATCGCCTGAAAATTTCGGACGTCATCCGAATGAAATGTTCACGGCCAACTGGTGCTTCGCGGACAATGATGTTCGCTGTGGCCTTGTGGAATACGGAGCTCGAGTCGCCGGGGATATGTACAGGGATAGTTGAAATAGATTGACCCAATTTCAAAGCAGTATATTTCACGATGGCAACGTGTTACAATTACACAAAAAGTTACAAACGTTGTAATGAGTTATCAAGTTTTACTGACCATTTTATAAATGCTCTATGTGCCCTCCACCCGATGTACGGACAGCATCGAGACGATAGTTGAATCCGTCCCAAACGCCTCTCAAAGTGTCTTCTTACACTGAAGTCACCGCTGCCGTGATTCTGTTTTTGAGGTCATCCAGATTAGTCCCTAATGGTGGCACAGAAACACGGTCTTTGACGTATCCCCACAAGAAAAAGTCGCAGGGTGTGATGATGTATGGGGATCTTGGGGGCCAAGAGTGTAGCTCCAAGTCTTGGGGTCCCGTGCGACCTATCCAACGTTGAGGCAGTGTGTCTCGTGAATGACTGAGGCTAGGGGCTGTTTGTGCGCTGGGAGAGGCATCGAGCGGTAATCATTTGAAACTCTATGCCGCGCCCTTTCAAGTGGTGTGGTAAGAGTTTCATTCATGGGCGGTTCGTGGTTGCAGAGATATAGCGATTTCAAATCGGGTCCATACTTTTCGAACACCCGTATATCATATCCTTAACACGCTAACCAACTGCGCCACTCACCATTCCACCCTTGCACGAGTGCAATGCGGGCGGGGTAGAACAATGAAACAGAACAATGGAAATTGCACGCAGCGCTGAAATTGGTTGCGTGTGTTTTTATATTTTAAATCCTTTATATTAAGTTCACTTGCTTGCTTGCTTAGGACCGTGCAAATCTTTCGGTCGTTTTTTAACCCACTTCCCGTGATCCAATCGAGCTGACATTTTCCACACAGACTCGTTGTGCGTGACAATTAATGTTCGTGAAAAAAAATTCCCAAAATGTTACACTTTTTAAGGAAAACAAATTAAATATTTAATTACCAACTGCTTAATACTGGCAGACAATCATCTGACCCATAGGTGGCAGCCGTCTCAAGCCAGAGGACGAGAGGACTCTAGCCGCCACGCATATAAAGGATTTAGAGTGAAAAACTTTGTTTTTACGGGTTATACTTATTATTAAATCCTTTATATTAAGTTCGCTTGCTTGCTTGCTTAGGACCGTGCAAATCTTTCGGTCGTTTTTTAACCCACTTCCCGTGATCCAATCGAGCTGACATTTTCCACACAGACTCGTTGTGCGTGACAATTAATGTTCGTGAAAATTTGTTTCCAAAATTTTACACTTTTTAGGACAAAAATATTATATTTAATTACCAAATGCTTAATGCTGCCATGCAATCATCTGACCCATAGGTGGCAGCCATCTCAAGCCAGAGGACGAGAGGACTCTAGCCGCCACGCATATAAAGGATGTATAGTGAAAAACTTTTTTTTTACGGGTTATACTTGTTAAAACGTGTGGTGTCACGAACGCGCCAGACAAAGCCTCGACCACGAGCGGCGGGCGGCGTGGGAGACTTCTGCCACGTCTGTCGCCAGGCGCCGTGTTCTTGTCCTTGCGCACAAATCGCTTCGTGGGTGACGCTGCACGTAGCGAGCAAAACAAAAACAACAACAAAAGACGAGAGATGGAGAACGAGCGATATTGACGGGCAGGAGTGAATTGTTATTGTGCACGTATGATACTTAACATAACGTATTCACAGGGATCACGCGACGCCCTTGTTACCGCCCTTGGTATGTTGAAGAAAACGTTGACGGGGTGAGTCTCACAATGTGCGTGCACTTGCCCCAACAGTCCGTTGAGGCTAAACGGGGGATCTTTGTCTTTGT